ATGCTGCATTGTTTCATTTAATACTACAATCCAGTGAGGTGCACTGTTTTTGTCCTCATTTTACACATTTGGAAATTGAGGTATGGAAAGGCCAAAGAAACATAGTTATCAAACGGCAAAGCTAAGATTTGAACTCTTAATTCTAACACTAAAGTCTATGCTCTTACACATTATTCTGCGGTATTGTTTGGTATTGCAAGTATCAGTAAAGTAACCTTGACCTTTTGTTGGTTTTTTTGTTTTGTTTTTTTAATCAGAGACCCATCTATTTTGGATAGTTTAGATTTGAATGAAGATGAACGGGAAGTACTCATTAACAATATTAATAGGCGTTTGACCCCACAGGCTGTCAAAATTCGAGCAGGTAAATGATTTTTTAAATGATGTTAAAAGGTTTATCATGTATCAAAAAGTTGTCAATGTGCCTTCCAAAGAATATGTTACTATATCAACATCTATAAATTTTTCTAAATGTGTTTTTCATATGAAAATTTAAGAACTTAAATATTTTGCTGAATCATCATAAAAGGTATATATCACACAAGTTACCCCCCCCCCTTTTTTTAAGGGGGTGGTTATTTTATTTTAGTGTATACTTTAAAATAGTCTAACAGTACAAATATCTTCCCACGTCTCTGGATTACCACTGTTAATAGTTTGGAATATATTCTTTCATTTTTCCTGTACTCATATGCTGTATAGGATTATATGCTGTTTACATTCAGATAGGACTTTTTTTGTTATTACAAAGATGAGGTCATACCATGCAAAGTTTTCTCCAACTAATTTTTCCCACTTGGTGTATCATGGTTGCCCTTCCATGTAGAGCAGTGATTCCCAAAGTGGGCGCTACCGCCCCCTGGTGGGCGCTGCAGCGATCCAGGGGGGCGGTGATGGCCACAGGTGCATTTGTTTTAACTTTTTTTGTATTACCTTTCTATTCTGAGTTCAATAGTTTCATAATTTCAAACTTCAATGTTTCTAATTTACACCTTTCTTTACTATATTTTACGAAAAAGGTAGAAACATTAATACATATATCTTTCTGTTTAATTGCTATTAAAATTTAAAAAAAAATTAATTTCCAGGGGGCGCTGAGTAATATTTTTTCTGGAAAGGGGGCGGTAGGCCAAATAAGTTTGGGAACCACTGATATAGAGCATAGGAATCTTTTTCATTATTTTCCATGGCTAGGTAATAGTCTGTAGAGTGGTTAACTTAACCAGTCCCCTCTTAAAGAACATTTAGGTTGTGCCAATATTTTTATTAGACAAAACACTATAAATTTAACATTCTTACACATATACACTTACCCATTTCTATAAGCGTTCTGTAAGGCAGATTCCTAAAAGTAGAATTGCTGAGTCAAAGTATATACAATTTCTAAACTGTTCTCAACAATTTGCAATTATTGTTTCATTCAGTATTAAAACACTTCTCTCTATTCTACAAATAAGAAACTGAGGTACAGAGAAGTTGGAATTGTGATTTTTAACCCAGACATAGCCAGAATCCAAGGTGTTTGTTAAATGTGCCTGTCTTATAGTTTCATCATTCAAGGGCTTGATGTGAATGAGAGGATATAATTTCAGATAGTTTTAATTATGAAAGTTAGTAGCTGGGGTTAGTTTCTAATTGAAAGGATGATGAAAGCTTTCACAAGTGTTTGAATACTTATATATCTTCACATCTCTGATTTCTTTTATGCCTCTAAATATTTTTTGAATTTTTTTTGGTATAAGCTTTTGAATTTTATAATTTTAGATATCGAAGTGGCTTGTTATGGTTATGAAGGCATCGATGCCGTAAAAGAAGCCCTGCGAGCAGGTTTGAATTGTTCTACAGAAACCATGCCCATCAAGGTGAGCAGTCAGTTTTCTCCCTCCCTGCTGAAATATCCACCTAGGCCAGTGGTCGGCAAACTCATTAGTCAACAGAGCCAAATATCAACAGTACAACGATTGAAATTTCTTTTGAGAGCCAAATTTTTTAAACTTAAACTATATAGGTAGGTACATTGTTATTAACTTAATTAGGGTACTCCTAAGCTGGCCTTTGCTAAAAACGTCCTCAATCTGATTGAGGTACGTTTGCTGAGGTCGACCCCTTCCAACTTTCCCATCTGCACTCGTCGTGTATACTTGTTTCGCCCAGGCCGAAAACCAACTTCTGTGCATGGACCACGAAGTATCAGTCGCACTATACGTGCGCGCCCGCACGTGTATTTTGTGGAAGAGCCACACTCAAGGGGCCAAAGAGCCACATGTGGCTCGCGAGCTGAGATTTGTCAACCACTGACCTAAGCCAAATCAGATTTTTTATGATCATGTTTCATAACAAGTGTTATGAAAAGTGATTCTTGGTGATAGTTCCAGGGGGTATTTACGATTAATTGTGTATAGGCTTTTTGTTGTAGCTACTGTTACTGTCACAGTGGATAGAGATTCCTATTGGTATTTAGTGCAGAGGGCTCCTTTACAATAAAACGTTATGCCCTGGCTGAAGTGGCTCAGTTGGTTGAGCATCGTCCCATGCACCAAGAGGTCATTGGTTCAATTCCCTGTCAGGGCACATGCCCAGGTTTGAAAGCTCGATCCCCAGTAGTGGGTGTACAGGAGGCAGCAGCCGATTGATGATTCTCTCCCCCTTTTCTCTCTCTAAAATCAATAAAAACTTTTTTTTAAGTTGTACCCATAATGCTCATAGAATCTTGAAAAGGGCAACATATTCTCATTCACACACAATTTTTAGGAGATTTGCTCTGAATCTTTTGTTAGCAATAAAATTAACTGAATCATTGTTACTTAGAATCTCTTAGAAGAATTTCTTCTATTTAGTTTGGAACCAAATTAGAATTTGTTTGTTTTAGAGACAAATTATCCATTATGCTGGCAATGGCTATAGTTATTTTAACCTCCAAAGACACCCAGAAATAGTCATTTTTTGTATTCAGTATTGCAGATTTGATTAGATCACTGTATCAGTTAGCTTTTGCTACCTTAACAGGCTACCCCAAATTGCTAACTATAAAATTAGTAGTTAACTTTTAAGAATTAAGATTTGTTAAGGCAGCAGATTAGTAAAACAATTCTCGAACATCCTGATAGTTGTGTGTTCTATAGGTATACTCACAGGTGAATTTTTATCTTCTTCCTTAGATTAATCTCATAGCTCCTCCTCGGTATGTAATGACTACAACTACCCTGGAGAGGACAGAAGGCCTCTCTGTCCTCAATCAGGCTATGGCTGTTATAAAAGAAAAGATTGAGGAAAAGAGGGGTGTCTTCAATGTTCAAATGGAGGTAAGATTAAGAGTGATTTTGCCTTGTTCTTAAAGGTTTTAATAAATTTAAAACTTCTAAATGACTTGCATTCTAAAATCTTAAAAAAATGAGTACATTTACGATTACAACTCTGCTAAGCATAAAATAATTATTGACTCAGAGGATTACTAAAAGGGCTTTTTATAAGTAAATAACTATCATGGGATATTTATTGAGAACTATGGTCACCGGTGTTGTTAGGTGTCCTGTTGTCACCCGCCCAGCCAAGGGAAAAAAATAGATGATGAAAATTAGTGGTTGATTATTGTCAGAATTTATCTGAAAACACTGAAATTTGATCTCAGAATTAGAAATAAGTATAATTGCCTTTATTTCCCTCATCTCAACAGGAATAAAACCTAATTTTCTTATGTATAAAAATATTTAACACATTATATATACACACACGATAATAAGTCTTCTCTGCAACAGAACAGTAAATTTATTTTGAACCTAGAAGGTGCATTTTTATAGGACGTCTTTTGGGTTTGAAAGATATAGCCACAGGTTATTTTCATATATTTTCAGTTTTAGCTTGTAAAACTAACAGAAAATAGTACTTTGTTTTAGTACACACATACTTGTTTTTTCTGTACTGTTTTATCCTCATAAGTTTCTTCCATTATTGAGCTAATGGAATTTATTAGTGATATGTCAGCACTCAGAAATGAATAGATATGGCATCAGGGTTGTTAAGAAAAGTGTCTTTAAGAGTTAATACAAAGCAGTGATAGTATTGAAATTCAATTTTGTGTACTATTTGACTACTTCATTTTGAAATTATGCCTCTGCTTCCACAGCCCAAAGTGGTCACAGATACAGATGAAACCGAACTTGCAAGGCAGCTGGAGAGGCTTGAGAGAGAAAATGCAGAAGTGGATGGAGATGATGATGCAGAAGAAATGGAAGCCAAAGCTGAAGATTAACTTTTGGGAAACAAAGTCCAATTTAAGGAACACAAAACAGCCCTTCCTGGCTATAAACCCTAGACTTAAAAGTTTTCCAGTATTGAAAACTTCACAGCTGAATATTTTTTATTTCCAAGTATTTAAATGTTCTAACAGACCAAAACGTGAAATGTCCTAAAATGCCAGCTGTTTTCACACAGTAACTCCATCACATTGAGCATTTTTTAAGGGAGTGGCCCAATTTCACTAGAGACAGATCTCTAAGCTAAGAACAGTCAAAATTGGGCTTTCCATTTCTGATGTCCCTAGATTGACACCTGTTTGTAGTTCAGTGCCTCTGTGTAATTTATCAGGGGTACCCAAAGCAAATGGTCCCAACCTTTCTATATAAATGTATCAAGCAAACATTAAATAAATTTCTGGGATATTTAACTATAGGCTTCTTCCTTCTTGTCACCAGTTAAAACCATTATGATTACTAAGACCCTAATTCTATTCATTTTAGTCTAGATGTAGAAATATAAGGGCAGGTGTTCAAAGGATCTATACAACAAGGAGGGCTTAGAGAAAATAATTTGAACCACAGTGAAAGTTAATTCTTAAGGGGGAAAGCCTTAAAATGCAATTAAAAGATTACATTGGTTGTGTGCCTTTTATGTCTTTGAGACTGATGAAATATATGTGGGAGAATTTCACACTGGTCCTGGTTGGTGTACTAAGCTGCGTGCCTGAGTTTGTAATTCAAAGTGGTAAGGTTGGTTTTATTTTGTTTGTTTTTTAAGATGCTGCTGCTTTAGTTATTTTGAGTCTCATCACCCAACTTGAGATTTTTTCCCCCCCATTAAAATATTCACTAGGTGTCATCTAGAGAGCTTCAGTTTTCTTTATAACGGAATAGGGATCTGTTTGAACACAATTACCATGATTTTTCTACGTTTCCATCATTTTTATCTTTAAGAACTAGTTATTTTAAAGGTATATAAATTTAAAGGTAAATAAATTCATTCATAGAAAACACATGGTTTGAACTTACAGCTACAATAACCAGGGTTTAGAAAGTCTTGAGTTACTTAGGTCTTCGTAGATTTAATCTCCGTGTACTTGAGGTACTAGATATATTAATTTTATTAAATTATTCTGACGAATAGCCATTTAAATACTTAGAAAATGAAACTGTATCCACCTTCATCAATCCAGGACTAGATTCAATATTAAAGGGACTGGAAAATAGTGTTGATGAGACAGTTTGTGCCATATGTGAAGGTTGTCCCAATCCAAAAGCTGACTTCATACAGCCATCTCCACAAGGGAGCCATGGTTGCTAGCTAGCATACCATACTGGGAATATTTAGAGGAAAATCAGGATATATTCAAAATTAGCACATAATTTTCACCTTGGGTCTTTTTGAGAAGTCAAAAAAGTCTGTAAAGCTCACAGCAGATGTCATCAAAATATAGCAGGTGCTCCTTAAATGTTTGCTATCGACAGGGAATTGGATTTTTGTTTACTGAATATTTTTATACTTCAAAAACTAATGAGAAATGCTGGTAGCCTTCATGGTGAGTGAATTTATCCATGCAGGCCTTTTCAGTTCCACAATAGTTGCAAATTCATGACCCTTGCCAGAGAAAAGATTGATACCTCAGTGATAGAACTAACTAAACTTAAAGCATACATATACCTTGCTGACCTAAAAGTATCACTTTTAAAGGACACGATAACACACCCAGCTCCAGATAACTGAAGCAACAGATTTTCAAAGGCAAGTGACCAGTTTATCCAAATCTTGGATCTCCCCCTAAAAAACCTCTTCATTAAAATTGGACAACTTCATCTACTTCCTGTTCTGCTTTGGACTGAGGTCAAGTGGTTATCAACTCAAAACTGAACCTTAGCAATAGCTTGGTTCTTAATGCATAATTAATTGAGAATGGCTGACAAAAAACATTCAAACCATTTTTTATCTTTTATACCAAAACAAGACAAACCAATACTTTGGATAATTCTAAGTGGGAACCTACAGAGACATGCTAAGCACTACATTGTGCTTAGCAATACAGTTATTACTCAGCTGGTAGACTTTCAAACATTCTCGATTTAGCTACTTTGACATCAAAAACAGTTGACTTCAAATGGTTTGGGATTTTAAAAATTAACATACTAGTACCTTGATAAGAGTTGTTCCCTGATTTGCCTCAAGGTGATGGTCATCTATTTTAAATGCGTGAGGACTCTGTCCTACGCAGTGTGGTACAGTTGTACCAGTTTAGAGAAGAAGCCATCAAACCAAATACAGTCAAATTCAGATAAACTGTTGATATCCCAAAAGCAATAAACTAATTCCAGGGACATTAGACCTGGTAAAATGCCAAACGGAAAATGGTGCTCTAAAAGGCAATCTCTTTACAATCTAAGGAATGAAGTAAAACCTCATTTGCTTGGAATTCTGATCACTCAGGTGAAGTATTATAGTTGAAATTAAGAGAATAGTTCAAACCAAGGACAAATGTTTACTTCGGAAGTATCTAGTCCCCTTAAGTGTCAGTTACAGATCTTAACCTATTCATTAAAGGAAGTCTAAGTACTTGTACTAAGCAAGAATGCTGGCAGTATCTTGTGCCAGTTTACTGTATGAACTTGAAAGCAATAAAAATGTTTTTTAAAATAATTGTATGATACAGACTTTTCACTACTGCAGGTTAACCTTCCAACAATATTTGTCTCAATGTTCACTTTAAAACCAAATATTTCATGCCTTGATTTAACTCTTTTCCTGTTTTTATCTTTCTCTGTCCTTTAGAGAGCTCTGCTCTGCTTCTTTCTATATGGTATTTTCCACAGGAAAGCTATAATTTTACCCTTTTTTTAGTATGTGTCACTAATATCTTCAACTGAGTCCATGCTTTTTCTGTGATGTGTAATACTTAATGCAAGCTTATTTTTCAAAGGAAAACAATATTCTATGAATGTTCAAGCAAAATTTTGCCACCATCCCACTTTGCAATAAAGCATGTCTTAGTCACAGAGATCACTTGAGGTGTCTTCATAATCACCTCGCTTACTTCCTATAGTCTCAAGCATGAAAAACCTTTGAAAACTGAAACTTTGGAAGGGAATTCTAATAGCCAGAAACAAATGCCAATTTTTATTAATCCTAAAGAAGGAGTTAATAGCTGTTGACAGCATTTCAGAGGCAGTGCCATGAGACTAGCTTTATTTAGTAGTATAATGTGGCCAGTTAGTGTTATAAGGCAAACCTACTTTGGTGCCCAAGGAATGGCCGGCTGTGATGATTGGCGAAAGTCAACATGCTGACGCCTAATGGCTGTTCTAGCATTTCCAGGTTGTTAACATGAAGGTGGGGAAGGAAATAGCACCGTTGCCCATTGTAATCTAGGAAACTCTTCAGTAGACTCACTCCGAAACAGTACAAAATAAAGTTACATTAACACTCATTTTCTGGGAACCTCTGTCGGTGTCATCTGGAAGGTGGGAGGAATCCTGGTCCTGGTCTCTCAGGTCCCCGTCACGTTAGCTTTTTGATAGCTTCGATCCACTCGGCTCGCTCAGCCTTGCTGCTGGCCTGGATGTAATAGTGTGTGTCGTCCTTAGTAATCACTTTGAAGAGATTTCCCTGGACGTTCCCTTTAACGCCTGGGCAGAAAAAAATCAGTGAGTAAATATCCGTGTCTGCTTTCAGCTGGAAGCAGCGGAAAATCAACTGAGATACAGACAAAAACAAATAATGAAGTATTTATTAAATACAAATGTACATGGTTAGGGAATCCCACCAGATGCGTGGTGCTTTCTTCTTTTCCTCCCTCCCATTCTCCTTTGCCTGTGTCTTAAGGCCTGCCAGTGGTATGTCTGGACAATTTTTTAAAGTATTTTTATTGATTTCAGAGAGGGAGGGATAGAAACATCAATGACGAGAGAGAATCATTGGTTGTCTGCCTCCTGCATGCACCCCACTGGGCCCGAAACTGGGGCACAGTTCGATGCTCAACTACTGAGCCACTCCGGCCAAGCTGTCTGGACATTCTTGGAAGCCTTCGTGGCCTGCTACCTATGCTAACCCTAGATCTACAATTTCGTTCACATAAAAGAATTTAGTATCTATACTAATAAAAGCCCAGTGGTGTCACACCCTCACGCGCGACATCGTCACAAGATGGCCACCACAAAGATGGCTGCCACAAGATGGCCACGTGCACAGCAGAGGCGGGGCCCGGCCTCCGCTCTGTGCGGTGAGGCCTGGGGGTCTCGCTGCTCGGCACAGTGCGGAGGAGGCCAGTCCCAGCGTCTTGGCTGCCTCACGTAGGAGGCGGGTCCCAGCGGAGGAGGCAGGTTGCGGCAGGGGAGGGCAGTTGGGGGCAATCAGGCCAGCAGGGGAGCAGTTAGGTGTTGATTGGGCTGGCAGGGGAGCGGTTAGGGGGCGATCGGGCTGGAGGCAGAAGCGGTTAGGGACAATCAGGCAAGCGGTTAGGAGCCAGCAGTCCCAGATTGTGAGACATCCCCCGAGGGGTCCCAGATTGGAGAGGGTGCAGGCCAGGCTGAGGGACCACCCTCCCCCCATGCACAAATTTCGTGCACTGGGCCTCTAGTGTTTATATAAAGAGAAGGCACAGATTTAGGATTTGACTTTAAACTGTTTAACTTCTTTGAACCTCAATTTCCACATCCATAAAATGGGAATGATACTATCTTCCTACCCTAGCTGGTTAGTGTGACAATAGATATTAAAGTGTGTCCTGCCCTAACCGGTTTGGCTCAGTGGATAGAGCATCGGCCTGTGGACTCAAGGGTCCCAGGTTTGAGTCTGGTCAAGGGCATGTACCTTGGTTGTGGGCACATCCCCAGTAGGGGGTGTGCAGGAGGCAGTTGATCGATGTTTCTCTCTCATTGATGTTTCTAACTCTCTATCCCTTTCCCTTCCTCTCTGTAAAAAATCAATAAAATATATATTTTTTTAAGTTTAAAATAAATAAATAAAGTGTGTCCCTAACCCTTAAACACTGTGTAAGCTAATATTATTCTTAGGTGGAAGCTTATGGACCAGTAAACAGAGAAATTGAGGGGAAAGTATTAGACAAGGATTATACAGCTGTATTGTTAAAACACTAAGAACACAGGCCCTTTTCTCTAATTCTGAAACTGGCTTCAAAACTCACACCATTCATGGTCTCATTGAGAAAGCCCTACTCAGCTCCCACAGCTCAGTCCTTCGTTGGCAGAGCATTACTGAGAGTGCAGGAGGGAGGCCTGAGATCTCAGGCCGGGGCCAAAGCTGGACCTTACCGGTGGGAACGCCATTGTCCTCCAGAGCAGACACGAGTGAACCACGAAGGGAAAACCCACCCACTGGCCGGTTCTCTTCCTGCAGAGGGAAGGAGACCTATTAGGAATTGTGAATGGACAAAAGGGAAGAGCTGCACCCTCGCCTATAACCACCCTCAGCTGTGCCAGCCAAAGAAGTCGGCGAGAGTCATGTATAACGAACTTGGCCTTCTTGCAGCCAACCTACAAGCACCGGTGAGGAAGTTTGGTCTCTGTTTCTCACCAGCTACAGCAGGGCCACAGCCCTCCCTGACCCTCGGCTCCCGCTGTGGTCTGTCAGGGCCCCAGGGCCCCCTTCACGCTCCTTCACATCCTGACAAGCTCAGTGAGGAAGGAACTGCCCAGGCTTCACTCTTTCAAAAAATGAATGAAATTCCTACATCTTCCAAAGTCAAGGTTGAACAGGCCATCTGAAAAGCCATTTTTCTTCACTTTTGACTGAAATTAGATAAACTCAGCATGCAATAATAGTATTATCTGAAACTCAGAATAGCAATTCTTCAATCAGTTAGAAAAAAAATAAAATTAGTAAATTATGGCTTAAATATTAAATAGTAAAAGAAAGTTTGCAAAACATTGGTGGAGACAAGAGGCTGAGGGAACAGAATCCCTGGGATCTGTGGAGAGAAAGGGGTGAAGAGCTGGGAAGCACCAGGTTGGCGTCGGCCAGCCCCTCACCTCCCCAGCCACGTGGCAAGCTTTGCAGAGACTAAAAGATGCTTTTCCTCACAAAATAATGAAGATCCGCGGAGCAGGCAATGACGTGATGAAATCAAAGAGCAACCCTCCCTTTTAAGAGTAGCTGGGTTGTGGGAGGAAAGGCATAGTGTGGCGGAAGTTATGGTAGGGATGCTGAGTTAAGGAAGGATGAGGAGCCAGCTGCCTGGGATGCTTGGGAGAGAAGAATCTGGAAGCCTCACCCGGGTACCAAGTGAGCGCACGGTACTCACTTTGGAAGGGTCGTAGTAATGCAGGAACGCCGGCTCCTTCCTCAGAACAAAGCGCCGCACCTTCCAGTTCTTCCTCTTGTGGCCCTGCAGTCAAGAAAGGGCCAAGGCTGCTGGGTGACAGCTCTGAGTCCCTCCCTCCAACGTCTTGTATCGAATGCCAAACCTCCAAGCCCGCTGGCTCCATGGGACCACTTTCTAAGAAGAGCCTGCCGGAGCCCAAGGATGGCAATGATGTGTCATGGAGGTCCCTGCTTAGGGACACTTAGCAAAAACACTGTCCCCTGTAGTTGAGTTGACAGAGCCGAAGAGGGTCAGCGCTGAAGGAAAAAGGGACATTCCCCAGACACCCCTCAGGACACAAGGAGGACAGGGAGGCAGCAGGTGCCACTGGACTGAGAGCTCACAGGCGAAGTTGAACCCAAGGGCACCAAGTCAAGCGTCAACTTGTTCCCCAAACAAACCTATAGCTGCATGCACACATGCGCACACATTTACAGTAAAAACCACTTTACCGTTCTGCAGCAGAAAAGTAAGGAAGATCAATTAGGTGCTACAATCTAAATGTGTAAGATATAGACGACCTTTGGCGTCACCCCCTAGATCACAAAGCTTCCTTCCCCCTCCAGTCTGAACACCGAGTCCCTCCCATGCCCTCCTGGTGGCCTCCCGTCGGGCAGTTTCATAATGTAAATAATCTGAGAGCAGATGGGGATCCTCGTGTGCAAGAACCAGGTGACAGCCACAGGTGCTCTGGGTAACAACGGGAATGGTGCTGCGCAGCACACGTGTCCGTGGTGCAGACAGGCACGTGCACACGTGTGTGAGGTGCACGCCAACACAGGGGCCGTGCAGAGGCCCGCGGACACTGCCTGCACTGTCACGCAGTCCTTCTGTTCCCGAACAGCCTTTCTGTCGGGCACAGGTAGAAATGCCGTGACATGCTGTCTCCTGCTTGACAGGGCTGCCCTCCCAAACACGGCGAGGAGTGGTGGCCATGGTCAGTTTTCAGACACTGGGATGACCCTGTAAAATTTCATCTTCAACCTACTGAGGTGGGTTGTCCGGAAAGTGTATGGAGGGGGCGTGCAGAGTCCCACAAAAGAAGGCAGAGACCCCAGAAAGCCTCGGAGAGCAGAAGGCAGCAGATGCAACCACCAACCCAGGAGGCAATGCCCTCCGGACACATATGAACGAAGGCATTTTTTAATGTTGCCGTCATTACTGTGTGTACCTTTTCCCTGAACACCCCGGTGTCTGGGACGCATGGGGGGGGCAGGGTTGGGAGAGGGTGTGTGGGGGGGGATCGGGGGATGAGGGAGGAGTGAGGGTGGGCACATGCATCCCCTTGTCCTGCTCCCGGTGGCAGCTGCTGGACCCTGCTTTAGCTCATCCTGCTGATTAGTGCCTCCAGCAGCCTCAGCCCTTCCCACCCTTTGGGAAATTCCCGCCTCCCCTGAGGTTGAGACTGTCCATGCCCGCTCCAAGGCAGCCATACCTGCTTGGCCAGATAGCCTTGCTTTATCACCGTGCCACTCAACTCCATGGTGCTCAGATTAATGTCTTCCCTGAGACTTATCTTCGTCTTGTAGCTCTCAGCCTCGTGGGAAGAAAACAAGGATTCTGTCACAAAAAGTCCCAGTTACAGGCTGTGGGGGCTACCATGGAAAAAAGGAAAATCCTTCACAGAGAAACCCATTCCACCTGGGGGTGAAGCTGTCCCCCAACCCGAGGCCTCACCCCTGACTGTGGACCCCTTGCCCCGACTCTGTGGCCGCCCCCTTCCCTCTACCCTGGTAGCAAGAGGAACCCTCTCCATAACTTACAAAGGTGTACAGGGCCGTGGAGTCATCCAGGAACTGCTCGGCCAGGTCCCCAGAGCGCACGGCTCCCGTGCTCCGGGCGCCGACTGGCTTCAGGAAGTTCTCCTCCAGGAGCATGGAGGCCAGGGTCACGGCCTCCAGACGGTTGGCTGCAAAGCCGTTGGAGATGAGCCAGTCCACCAGGGAGGAGCCTGCATCAGAGCAAGGGCAGCGCCAGTCAGACCACAGCCTACCGTCCGGCGTCCTGGGGTGGGGGCCTGGCTGTGTCCTCACTGGCGTGGACCTCCTGGGCGGCCTTGGGGCTCTGCACAAGAGCAGACCAATGGCCACCCCTGCTGCGTGGAGCTGTGGCCACACCCACACGTGGCCATCTCAGGCCAGCCTGTTGGTCAGCAGGCAGCTCTGGCCTCAACACAAGCTGGTCAAGCACAGCTACGTCCCAGTTCACCACGCCCCAGGTTTCCACTTCCCCCCGAGAAGGAAGGCTCACCATTGAAGGTCTTTTTGTAGGTGCTTCCCTGCTCCAGGTTGGGGCTTGGCCGGATTCCACTCCCGCTGTCGTGCATCTTGTCCACGATGCCACTACACGGGAGGAAGGCAAGGACAGGGGCCCCTCATCACACTGACAGATAGGAGAAAGGGCCTACGGGTAGTGAACAAGTGGCAAACGGCGCGATACGCACCACAGAGAAAGAGGGGGCAGAATGTGAGAGGTAGGTAGGATTTTAGATCTTTTTTTTTTCATGCTCATCTAAATGTTCTAATATTTCTATCCTAGACAGTTATTGCTTTTGTAGTAAAACTAAAGAGCTGTGACTTCTGCTGCTTGGGGGTTAGGAGTTTTTTCTATAAATGGGCTGTTGCAAGTTTCCATGATGGGAACTCCTTTCATACACCCCCACTTTACACTCTCGCCTCCACTGCCGACCTGCTTTCCTGCTGTTCTGTGGGATGATTCCTGCCACCCATGGAAGGTCTTTTCTCATTTGCTGGTTATGTACTTGGGCTGGGAAGCCCTTGAGACGGGACCTTGTTTATCCCCATTTGCATCTCCTGAGGATCTAGTGCAGTAGGCGCTCAAGAACTATGTCTTGAGTGAATGAATGAATGAGTAGATGAGGAACACTACAGGGCAAGAATGCAACTGCTTCCAGAACACATCATTCTTGCCACCAGGGGGCGAACATGGCCAGGATTGGTGAGTGGAGGTTCCTGGAGCTGTGCCGTAGCCCTGAGCACCTGGCTGAAACTGGAGGTGGGCTGAAGCAGCCGAGGCCCCAAAGGGTTACGTAGGAGCAGGGCCATTCCCAGGCAGAGAAAATAATACAAACAGGGCAGTGACAGCCAAAGGCCCTGAAGCATGTTGGTGGAAGCAGCCAGGCCCAATTAGCAACAACAGAGCCTCCTCCCCATCCACAGAGGGAGAGGCCGCAGCAGAGGCAGGCAGAGCGCGGACAGGGGTGGGGCACTCACTGCAGGCTGATGTGAGGGGTCAGCTTGAAGGAGTTTCTCTGTATGTGGAGCTGCTGGACCTTCCCCGGCTGCCCAGCGTGAATCGCCCCTGTGATCTCAAAGGCCCAGGCGTCCCTGTCCTCCCGAGAACAGGCCTCCAGGAAATATTCTGTGGATGTGCGAGTCTTCAGCTTAATGAGGAGCTGCGGGGAGAGACAGCCAGCCGGACCGGCACTCAGACGTAAGGTACCTTCTTTATGGATCTAGCAATCTTACTAGGAACCGAGCTTCCTTCCTCCTGTTAGTCTTCCTAACAGTTTTCATCAGTCCATTCGCTCACTCAAAACCTTCAGTGGCTCCCCTCCCCATTCCCTCCACGTGGCCCCCGCCATTCTCCCACGGCTCCCTCAGGGAGCGTTTTCCCTTGGCCACACTGGCCATCCTCATCTCCAAATCCATCCCTCCCTCTCCCCGCACTTCTACCCAAGACTGGAACGTCCACCTGCCTGGAACGTCTGCCTCTCTCCTCTTCTAGATCTTTGCCCCCGTCTCCATTCCTTGCAAAGCCGCACCTGACCCAGCCGGCTCCCTCCTCTGCGGATACAGTGCTCTCTACGGCTAGTAATGTTGGAACCACCCTTTGAAACACTGAATGTGTTTCAATTAACCACCTGCTTTCCTAATAAGATTATTAACTGGAGAAGAAGCGATCTTACTATTTTCTTCCTCGACTCCTCCAAGCCTAGCTAATTTCTTGGCACATACTGGGCCTTCGAGAAATGATTGAGTCAGACACTTTTTTGATGGTAGGGTGGATGCTGCCCCTGGCTTTTGGAACATGCACCCGTTGGGGACGAAAGCCATCATATTGCTTTGATGACTCACATTTTTTTCAGTGCCTCCCAGCCTACAGGATCCCCATCGCATCCATGGGACCTGGGCATCATTTTTTATCCCATTTTATAGACGAGGAGCTAAGGCTCAGAGAGGTTCATTACTTGCCCAAGGCCCAGCATGTGGTGCGGCCAGGATTGGAACCAGGTTTTTCAATAACTCAGCTCTTCCCATGACCCACACCCCCTTCACCAGAGGCCCGGGAGGGGAGGAGGGGGGTCCGGGGCAGGGAGGAACTGGGAAGCCGGCCTTCACTTACGGGTCGATTTTCATACTCCAGGCAGGGGCAGGTGATGGTGCAGCCATCCAGGAGGATCTGGCCCTTGGGAGGGTTCACCTTCCGACCCCCCTCGAGCTTGTAGTACAGCAGCGTGTTCTGCCGAAGGACGAACCATCGCGCCTTCCAGTTGTGGACAATGTGACCCTGAGGACAGACAGCAGAGCCCTGTGGTGAGGTGGCTGGGGGACAACACTGTGTCCAGGGAGAGGGGTCCCATGGTGCAGGTGGCCAGCCATTCTCCAGGCATTGGCCTTCTCTTTCCTACTTGGCCTTTTTTTCTGGCTATAAACCTTGAAAGACACTGCTAAGTATTATCAGGAGACAGACATTGCTAACATTCAGTATTTCCTTCTAGTCTTTTTTCCTTTTAGTATTTACTTTCTAGTTGTTTTTTTTAAATCAGGACTATATTGCATATACTTTTATTTTCTAGGTTTTTGTTTTGTTGAGCTTTGCTGAGTATCATCTCACACCATTAAATTTCTCTAAAATATTTTTAAAATATATTTTTATTGATTTCAGAGAGGTTGAGCTTTGAGTATCATCTCACACCATTAAATTTCTCTAAAATATTTTTAAAATATATTTTTATTGATTTCAGAGAGAAGAAAGGAGAAGGAGAGAGAGATAGAAATATCAATGAGAGAGAAACATCCTTCAGCTGTTTCCTGCACGCCCCCTACTGGGGAACCAGGAGAGGACACTCAACCAACTGAGCCACACCGGACAGGCTAAAACGTATTTTTAAATGACCACTAGGTGGATGCATCGTTTACTTGTCAAGCTCCTGCCTTTGTAACAGGTTGTTTCGTTTTTCACTATTATAAACAATTCTGCAATGAATATCCTTGCATATAAATTTTGATCTGCATCTGATTTTTTTCCCTTAGGATATATTCCTAGAAAGACTATTGCTAGTCAAAGGATGTGGGCAATTTGTAAAACCGAAGCCACACATGGTCTAGCAGTGCTAGGAGGCCAAGTCTTACCTGCCGCGCCAGGCCTACAAGGCAGGGTAGTTTGGGAGCTCTCAGAAGGACCATAGAGTCCATGGATAGCACAGTCCAATGAAGGCAGAGAGCCTGTTTCTAGAACAGACCAGAGGATGGGGGGGTGTCTGCTGAGGAATCAGAAAGGAATGGATTTAGAACACACTCATGAATCTACTTTCTTGGCATGTTTTCCGGAGCAGAGCCCGACACGGGCTAGATCAGGGGTGGGCAAACTTTTTGACTCGAGGGCCACAATGGGTTCTTAAACTGGACCGGAGGGCCGGAACAAAAGCATGGATGGAGTGTTTGTGTGAACTAATATAAATTCAAAGTAAACATCATTACATAAAAGGGTACGGTCTTTTTTTTTTAGTTTTATTCATTTCAAACGGGCCGTAGTTTGCCCACGGCTGGGCTAGATTCTAACCAAGAGATGCACTTCACCTGAATCAGAGACCATTTCCCGATTCGCTCATTTCCTCACCGAGCGCCTATTCCCTGCGGCCCTCACACCTGCCTGCTGTGACTCTATGCCGTGCTCGGTGTGTGCTGAGTGCTGCTGGGGAGACAACAACTGTATTGACCTCAGGAGCACTGGCCTGCACCCAAACAGAATTGACTGTGGCAACGAAATCAGACTTCTAACAGAGTTCACCTGACAGGAGCTCCTTACTGCGTCCAAGTGTTCCCACGCTGCCTGCTGATCAAGCTGTTCACACGAGAGCACTCAGGCCGTCAAGTTGAACTTGACACTTTTGCTCTCTCCACTCTGTCCCGCACTTAGAGCCCATGTGTGAGATGACAGCTAACAGCTTTCCTTGACATGGCAGACATGTTTAAAGAAACAAAAAAGATTTGTCTCTGACTCCTCAGCAGTTGGGGTTCTCTATTGCCCTGCCCCTGGCCTGTCCTGATGATGCTGTGGGGGGGCCCCTGCAGTAGGGTCGGCAGCAAATTGCTGGCACACAGGTTACAGCTGGTGCAGTGAGAGGAGAAGGTGATCTAAGTTGATGATATGGGTGCTGATGTGAGGTAGAGAAGGGGCAAGGATGAAATAATCTTCAACTTAAAACACAGGTGTTATGAGCTGAATTATGTGTCTCCCCCCAAAAAAGATACATTGAAGCCGTAACCCCCACTACCTAAGAATGTGACTATTCGGAGATAAGGCCTTGAAAGAGGTGATTAGGTTAAAATAAGGCCTTGGGTGGGCCCTAATCTAACCTGTTTTGGGTCCTCAGAGCAAGAGGAAATTTGGACACACAGAGACGCATCAGGGAGACGTGTGCACAGAGGAAAGACCGTGTGGACGCACAGTAAGAAGGTGGCCACGTGCAAGCCGAGGAGAGAGGCCTCAGAGGAAACCAATCCTGCTGACACCTTGATTGTGGACTCTAGCCTCCAGAACTGGGAGAAAGTAAATCCCTCTTGTCTAAGCCATGTCTGTGGTATTTTGTTACAGCGGCCCGAGCAAATTAAATCACCAGGGAAAGCCCTGGCCGGTTTGGTAGAGTGGATAGAGCATCAGCCTACGGACTGAAGGGTCCTGGGTTCGATTCCAGTCAAGGGCACATGTCTGGGTTGTGGGCTCGACCCCCAGTGGCGGGGTGTGTAGGAGGCAGCTGATCAGTGATTCTCTCTCATCGTTGATGTTTCTATCTCTCTCTCCCTCTCCCTTCCCCTCTGAAATCAATAAAATATGTATTTTTTAAATAAATCACCAGGGAAAGAAAAAAGGAGGCAGGAGATGTTACAGAGAAAAGTGTAACCAGCAGAGGTTGAGCAGAACAAGCCAATAAGTAGATATTGTTCCTTTCTGGACAACATGCTACATTTCCCAGAATCCCTGGCACAAAGGGAGCAGGTAGCTGACCAAGTTGCTGCCAGTCACATGCATTGAAGCCTGTTTGGCAGCAACCAAACATGGGAAACAGGAAGTTGTGGCAAGGACGTCTGGAAGAACAGATGCGGTTCTGCCACCAGCCCCAGGGTTATCGCCACAAGTGGCAGTGGCAGCCGTGGTTCCCACTGGAAACGTCTGGGGTGGGGGGGGCTGTTGGGCATTTTTGTCTGGCTGCAGCATCCCTGGCTGTATGGCATCCCAGCCAGGTTCTCAGGCCCTCCCAAGCACTCCTGAGTTCCTTAATATTTATTATTCTCCGTGAAACCCCTACTGTTCAAACTCGCTAGGGTGTGTGTTATAAGCAGCTAAGAGTCCTGACTGCTGGCAAAGGAGAGAGGGCTGAGGAGAAAGGCTGGTGAGAGGGATTTACTGTGTAGATAGAAAAATCAGAGCAGCTGGTGGTCCTTGTAAAAAATGTTCAGATTCTGTGACCCAATAATCCCACGTACCGGGTCCTGTGCTAAGTAAACGTTAGGTTTTATGTATTGAGACCATCAAAGGATCATAACTTATCAGCGTAAAAACATGCAAATATTCTGATGTGTAACAATACTGTGTGGCTGCCGTGGAGGGATTCCAGCCTCACAGATGGCAGGAGAGGCCATGGGGGGGGGGGTCCCCAGGTCAGACCCAGCGCAGCCATGGCCTCTGTCATGAGCAAAGCACTCTTACTTGCATTACTTCATATGAGACCCAAAAACAACTCTACTGTTATTTTAGAAAATTTCTGGAAGGATACCCCCAAAATGTTAGTGCCCATCCTCTCTGGGCACTGAGACTGGATGTGGGGACTTAAAATGGAAACTTATTTTTCATTTCCCAACCTTATGTTTCTAGTTTTTTAAAAATAATATGCACGTGTTATTTTTATAATGGAAAGTGAATTTAAATTCAAATAAACAAAAATCCGGACAAGATGATTAGGGAAAGCATTCATTCATTTATCTTTTCATTCAACAACCAGTGACTAAATGCTACTGCACCAAGCACCGTGCTGGTAGCAGCGACACCAAGATGAACATCTGACCCAAGACAGTGGGGGAGACGGATGACGACCCCACTCGTGTGGTGAGTTCCGGGACAGATGACTGATGCCCCCCACGATCCCCACCTCCTGGTATTCACACCCTGTGCAGTCTCTTCCCACACAGAACAGGGGTTGGTCTGTGTGACCAAGAGAATATGGCAGAGTGATGGTTTGTCACTGCTGACATCAGGTTATAAGACTCTGTAGTTATAGACTTGGGCTCTCTCTCTCGCTCTCTCTCTCTCTCTCTCTCTCTCTCCTGCCCCCCCCCCCACTCTGGGAAAAGTTAGCTGCCACATTGTGAGCAGCCCCTATGCAGAGTGAAGTAGAAACTGAGGCTCCAGCCACTACCCATGTGAGTGAGCTTGGACAGGGGTCCTCCAGCCAGCCAAGCCTTGGGCAACATTTTGGCTACAACCTCATGAGCGTCTCTGAGCCAGAACCTTGCAGCTGAGCTGGTCCCGGTTACCTGACCCTTAGAGACCGTGTGGGGTGATAAATGTTTGTTGTCTAAGACGTTAAGCTTTGGGGTAATTGTTACACAATAACAGATAATCAATGTAGGGCGTGATGCAAACCCCAGGACGGAGGTCATTCTGAGGTGGAGGAGGAGCGGATCCTGGGCTGAGTGCTGAAGGTTATGAGGAGTGGGCCAGGTTAGGAGGGCAGGAGGGGAGAGCAGCAAACTGCTGCGAATCTGGAAAACTCCAAATAGTTCTGGGGGGGCGCGGGGGGCCTCAGAGGCTGTGAGGAAGGGATGAGGGACCAGTCGGCTTCAGATCCTGTCTGCAGAGTTTGATCTTTATATTGCAGCCTGAGGGGAGGTTTTGAAGACTTCTAAGTGGAAGGACGACAAGCGTAAGTCCTCCGGTTAAAAAGGTCACGGGACTGGGACCGCGCTGTGGCCCTGCGGGAATGAAGCAGCCACACGCGGGCAGCTCAGCCGGAGCTGCGGCAACGATCCACAGGACGGGATGAGAGCAGCTGCTCTACAGAGAAGCCTCTCGGTGCTCACAGGGCCCAGGGGCCTGGTCCAAAGTCCCAGGCAAAGGAGGTCAGAGGCTGCAACACAGTGGGATAAGCTGAACAAGGCCCTCCACCTGGGCAGTTTCCCGTCTCCAGCTCCTTGTCTGCAAGTGGCTGGCTGGGGCCAGAAGCCGGCTAACTCATGAGCCCCTAAAGCTTCTTCAGGGGAAGGAGGGGAGTCTATAAGCTGGATGGCGACCCTCGGACCGAAAGTTACAGCTGGAGGGACCCTTTGAAAAAGCCTATACTCAGAACTGTCATGATGAGGAAACTGAGCCTCAGAAAGGTCTTGCCCAAGACCCTACAACCGCAAAGAAGCAGATATGCTACTTGCTATGGGTTGAATTATGTCCCCGCAAAAGGCATTGAAGTCTTAACAGCTGGTACCTCTGGGTGGGATCTCATCTGGCAACAGGGTCTTTGCAGATGTAATCAGGTTGAGATAAAGTTACACGGGGTTAGGGTGGCCCCAGTGCCACTAATAGGACCGGTGTCCTCATAGAAAGAGGACGATTTACGCACTGAGAGGCACGTGGGGAGAAGATGGTCATGTGACGATGGAGGCAGAGATGGGGAGATGCACCTCCAAGCCAACGGACACCGAGGATTGCCTGCGTGAGGTCACAGAAAATACATATATTGGTCTCTGCCCCACGTACTGGCACAGAGGTCCTGAAACCCTTGTAATTTCCCCGGTGATGTCAGTGTCTTTATTCTAGTGAGGCAACTCTGGGTGGGCTCCGGATGGCTCCTGGATAGGGGCTGATCCCCGGAAAGACCAAGCCAGGAGGAGCAGCTTGGAATTTCCAGCCCGGCACACCCATTCTCTTGAGACAGGGAAGGGGCTGAGATGGAGTTAATGATCAATCGTGCCTATGAGATGAAGCCTCCATAAAAATCCCCACAGGCCGGGTTCAGAGAGCTGCTGGGTGGTGAGCACTGGGAGAGTGGTGTGCTCGGAGAGGGCTTAGAAGTGCACATCCCTTCCCATATACCCTGCCCTGTGCGTCTCGTCCATCTGGCTATTGTATCCTTTAGCATATGCTTTAATAAACTGCTGGCCCTAGCCGGTTTGGCTCAGTGGATAGAGCATCAGCCTGTGGACTGGAGGGTCCTGGGTTCGATTCCGGTCAAGGGTACATGCCCAGGTTGTGGGCTCAATCCCCAGTGGGGGGCGTGCAGGAGGCAGCCAGTCGATGATTCTCTCTCATCATTGATGTTTCTATCTCCCTCTCCCTCTCCCTGCCTCTCTAAAATCAATAAAAATATATTTTAAAAAATAAATAAAATAAGCTGGTGAACATAAGTAAGTGTTTCCCTGAGTTCTGGGAGCCACTCTAGCAAATTAATCAAATCCAAGGAGTGGGACATTTGGGACTTCCCACCAGGCCTGTGACTACGGCTGAAGTGTGTGTGTGGGAGGGGGGATGGGCAGTCTTGTGGGACTGAGCCCTCAGCCTGTGGAACCTGACACTATCTGTGTGTCAACTGTGTCAGAATTGAGTTAAATTGTAGGATACCCAGCAGGTGTCACAGAGAACTGCTTGGTGGGGGAAAACATTTGGTGACCAGAAGTGTCAGCAGTGGAGTGTTCTGTGCAAAAGTAAAGGAGACTCACAGCATAAACAGAGAGAGAGAGAGAGAGAGAGAGAGAGAGAATTGCTTGGTGGGGGAAAACATTTGATGACCAGAAGTGTCAGCAGTGGAGTGTCCTGTGCAAAAGTAAAGGAGACTCACAGTATAAACAGAGAGAGAGAGAGAGAGAGAGAGAGAGAGAGAGAGAGAGAACGAACCAGGTTTCTCCCTACATTGGAAGGAAAAAAATCTGGGTGTTTCCTTGACAGCCTGCAAATGCCAGAAGCAGAAGAGGCAACGACACATTCTCCCCTACTAGTTTCAGGAGGAAACCCTTGATTTCAGACTTCTAGCCTCCAGAACTCCTTCTAGACTTTTCTCTGCTACGTACATTTCCCCTTACTTATGCCTTTAGCATTTTTACTCTTTAAGTTATAATATTATGAACATTTTAAACATCATTTACTTAATCATTTGTCTACTTTGGGGGAGGAGGTATATAGGTAGTTTCCAGTTTTTCACTACATACGCAACACTTTGTTCATAAGCCTTTTATGGTGTTTCCTGGGGATAGAGCCCGACTAATGAAATTTCTAGGCTGAAGCATGTTAACCTTCCATTTTCTAAGTGTGCCATTCAAGGAATGAAGGGGGCAGCGATGTCTGAAGTGCTCCCGCCTCTTCCGAAAGGAAAAGCGGTCCTACCCACGCTGAACCTGGCTTCCTCCCCCCACCCCACCCCTCCTTCAAAGCCAGGCCTAGTGAGCAGCCTGCGTTTTGCCTGGAGTTCTGCTTCTTTCTTGTCTGGGCAGAATTAGGAGCCAAACCCTTCATGCCCCTGCCTGCCCCTGCTTCACCCTCAGCGTGATGACTGTTCTGTGCTCTGGGCTTCCAGCTACGGCCCTGCCCATCTCTGAACCCAAACCCTCCTACAGCTGGAATGAGCTTTATGTATTTCAGCCAAGCCCCCACTGTGTGTTTTTGGGGTCAGACCTGTGGACTGTCCTCACTTCTCTGCACCCTGGACTCTGTGAGCCGGACATGCAGGACTGGCAGCCTGTGCAGAAGAGAACTCACATCCTCCCCTCTGGTCCCCTGACTCTGCCTGGCCGCAGGTGGGGAATCCGGTAAGCTAACCCCTGGGAATGTGGGGGGCGGGGGAGCGGGGGAGGAGACCCACAAGGGGCATTCTGAGGGAGTCTGTCCTCCACAGGCCCCTACCAGGACCCAGCTTCCCAACACCCCCTGCCCAGCTCAACACCTTCCCTCACACTTCAGAAGTGGAGGTGCATCTGCCTCCACAAACCACAAGGCACCAGCCTACGGCTTTAATCGCAGTGGCATGAAGCAGGAGTGGAATTTTGTACCTGCTTGAATGCAATCTGACCCTTGATCCGGCATTAGCACTCCTACTTACAGTTTTGAGCAAACAACACACCCACCCTCCTCTATCAAACAAGGTGTAACATGACAGGCTGCATCACCTACGGACATGGAGACTCCAGGGCCGATCTGGCCACCCGAGGCGGCAATGGAAAGGAGAGCACAGCCACCCCTCTCTGTCAGCCCCTCCCAACGCTGTAAGCTCACCCCCAGCTTTTATGGTCTGCTGCTATGTTAGCAAAAATGCCGAGCATGAACACCAATGCTAGAAGCACTTTATCATTTTCTACCGTGATCCTGTGCCCCGTTTTTGTCTGGACTCCTGCCTGCTGTGGGAAAGGCCACGTGGGCTGACGGGGAAGCACTGGGGATGGAGGGGCCAGTCCTATCTGCGGTTGGCCCTGGGGTTCTGGGTGGAGGATTTCGTCTTTCTAACCCTCGGTCTCCTCGTCTGTGATAGAGCGATAACGATGCCCACCCTGCGGTGGGCGGGAAAGGGTTTGGCGTAGACCTGAGTGGGTGTAATCCTCTGCGTCACGCACTAGCACCCAGATCCTGAGCCAGTTACCCTGCCTCTGTGCGTTTTGTGTTCCCCTTGGAGAAGGGGGGTCATGTGGTCCCACCTGTGGGAGGATTGAAGGAGACAGTGTCGTCCCCCACCCCCTACACACACACACACACACACACACGCACGCACAGTACACGCCTAAGAAGCACAGGCCTCCTCCTTGCTCCCGGGTTATTGTGAAGCGTACAGGCGGGAATTACATGGATGGGCACTGTGAACTACAGGCGCGTTTACGTTGCTTTAATCCATCAGATTGAAATACTACCTACTTTAATAAGTTGTTGTCATTACGATAGCCGCTTCGGTGGCCACCACCCGCACCCCATCCACGCTAATCGGGACTGGCCTGGCCTGTGCCCCGGCATTTTTCCGTAGAAAGCTGTCCGCCGGCTCTCCCCGCGAACACAGCTCTGCCCCGCAGAGCCCCAGGCGCCCGATCCGCCCTGGAGCGGAGCTGGGCAGGCTG